TTTTTAATAATAATACAAATACTTCTTTAATATTTTCTCCACTATGTGATTCAAATATTTCTATAAAATCTATTATGATATTTTGTAACTTCCAATTTATATCAATAAAATGAACTATTAAACATTAAAATGATTTTGTTGAAGGAGAAGTCCAAATATCAATAGTAAAAGAAATTTTTTCAGAAAGTTTTTGAAGAATTATTTGTACATTTTTTAAATTTAATTCATAAAGATCTATAATATTTCTTTTAATAGTATCTGTAGAAGGAATATTTGCTTCAGGACAAAGTGAGTAAACTAAAAAATTAAATTTCAATCTTTTATTACAAACAAAATTGCTAATTAATATTAAAAAATAAATAATAAATTAAAAAAATAAACAAATGAAAAAATTAAATTAAAGTGACTTACCGCTATAGTCATTAATTGCTAATTTCACAATTTTCAACTGATCCTGAAATATAAAAATTTAAAAATTAATAATTCTAATTTACACACATTGACACTTCTCCCTTTCATTTTACCTTATCACTTCACCACACCACTGCCTCCCACTTATCCTACTGCCTCCACTGCCCCCTACTACCCCACTGCTCCAATTTCCCCCACCATACTACTCACTTAATTAGATACGAACCCTAAAATAAATTAAAAATATATTAACAAACAGCAAAAAAAGAGAAAATAAAAAAAAAATATTAAAAAAATATATTTACTTACCGCAACCGAAGTTGGTAAACTTGCTTTCTTCAGTTCTAAAGAAAGAAGTTTACAATGGTATATCGGCAAAAAATATTATCAATTTATTAATGATAATTAATTCAAGATCTAAATTCAGATCTGAATTCAATCTGAATCTGACAGATCAGATTTGAATCTGAATCTGAATTTGACAGATCAGATCTGAATCTGAATCTGAATCTGATAGATCAAATCTGATTCGAATTCGAATCTGAATTAGATCTGAATCTGATAAATCTGATCTGAATTCAATTTATCAGATTCAGATTGGATTCAGATTGATCTGAATCTGTGCGAAACACTAACTCTAAGGCTAGAAAATTATCGCAAAAGATATGCAGATAATGATCTGTGTATCAGCTTAGAAGAATTATATAAGCTTTATTATCAAATAGCTAAGGAGAAGAATTGCGAAAGGTCAGATGATAAAATAGAGCAGATGCTAAAAGCAATAGCAATCTAGTCATATTTGACAAAGATTTTATTTAGAGAAGAGCAATAACAATTCCTGATCTGATTGGAACACTTAATGATTTACTTAGTCATTATTCTAATATATCTATAGCTAGACAATCACTAATTCGAGGTATTATTTCCACCTTAATTTTGAGAGCTGGTGAAAGAATACTAGCCAATCTAGAATAGAACTCTACCGATCTAACTAATCTAAATCAGTAATCAGCTCAGAAGATTTTTTTTATTGGGTTATAGTCTGTGCAATAAAAATATAGATTAGCTAACTTATATTAAGCATGGATACTGATCGGTGCTAGCTGAATTTTTTACGAAAATTTGTGTAATTGTTGAGAAGAGAGATTTAGAAATAGTGGATGTCCCTCTCCAATAAACTGAATTTTATTTACTCCCATTTTACCATATTTCTCTAATACTACAACTGGATCATCTTCTAGTGGGCTGTGAATTTCTCAAGTTTTTGAAGATAAGCTCTTACATTTTTATCAACTTTTCTGCCTTTTCTTGGTTAGAATAACTAACAATATCAAGCTCTTCTTGAATTGCTATTATATCATCTTCCAAATACATAAGCAAATTAAATATTTCATCAAATGAAATATTTGTAGAAGCTTTATTGTTTCGATATTCCACTTCTAGAAGATGATTACTATCAATGTTGAGATTCTCCTGTATCAGTATTAAATCCCCTACCAATTATAATAACAATTCGTATGAATCAGCAAGTATTTTTTCCATAAGCTTAGAATCTGAAGGTACTGCCAACTGATTTGCATTCCCACCAATACTGAGTTTTTCCTGAATAGCTATTATATCCTTCTTTTTATATAAAAGCAATCCATAAAACTGAGCAAGCATTTCGGTATTAATGTTTGCCATGATTGCTATTAAAGGCCAAGTCCGGAATACTGATCATCATCCCAGTGATCATCAGCTCAGAAGATTTTTTGCTAAGCCTCACGTGTACTCCTATGTGACAAAAAATTAATATAGATTAGCTAACCTGTTCTAGACATGGACACTAGCTGAATTTTTACACAATGGTAGTTACTTTCCAGTAAAATAAAACATTTCCACTTCCTATAGATGAATTTCTGTATTAACACACCTGAACCATTTTCTGCCAAAGGCACTAAAGGTAAGGAACCGTTAGAAGTTTTGAAGATATGCTCTTGCATTTTTATTGGCTTCTTCTAATCCACTTATTTCCTGATCAGAATGACCGACAATACCAAGAACATTCTGAATCATGCTTATATCCTCTTCCAAATATAAAAGCAAATGATATAATGTCCCAAGTGACCTTTTCCCATATATTTCTCCCTCAAGATCATGTATATTATTATATAATATAGTAAGAACGGGGTGGCAATCCACATCGAGATCTCCCCGTATATCTATTAATTCCCCCACCAAATCAAATAACAGCCCAAACGAATCTTCAAGTGTTTTTCCTTTTTTGCTTGATTCAATGCTGTTTGATTTCTATTCTCAATAGGTCCCTTCCTCCGGTTTGGGTCCATAGTCGCAGGCTTGAAATTACTTAATCTCTGGGAAGTTCTCTTGCGGAACTTGGCCAAAATCATACTTTCTTTATAATTTATTTGATATGGCGAGAATCTCATAGTTAGCGATATAGATAGAAACAAGTTAGTTATATATTGAAATGACTTGATGCTGGGACTCGCATTAAATGGCCTAGGATTCATGTACTCCCCCATCTTTGATAGCATCATCTATTTCGTTTGCATGAAATGGCTGGATATGTTTATTTATTATTTTTTTTTTTATAGCAAATACAATAATAACGTTTTTTTAGCAGTGAACAATATAGCAAGTCATGTAAAAATTCGTTATATAAATACACAATATTATGTATCAGTTATTCTGCGAAAAACTAATTTACAGGTATGCTTGATAAAAATTAAATCATTCTGTATGACCAGATGTTTGAATATTGATAACGGGAACTTTTGTCTTCGTAGGACTATAGTTTGAACCACGCTGATAATTTTCATTCAGGTGGGAGTTACCCTTTCTATCAGTTTCGAGAACAAGCTCCTAGAATGAAATTTATAATGTAGATAAGAATGTTTAAAACAAACCAATATATTATTATAAATTAGATTCTTACTCTTAATTCGTAACATCTTTCTATAACAGAGATGATTACAAGAAATTCCGCCGCCTCAGCGGGAAAAGTCATTTCTACTAGAAAGACAAGCTGGTATAAGCCATCATATTCTAAAGTGATCCGAAAAAACTCAATCCTGTTTCCTATATCATAAACATATAATTAGCATATCGCTCATCAATATAGGATTAGCTTTGATTACTCACCGTTAATTAGTACACCATACGTTTCATCATGAATCCCCATGTCTAATGCACTCTTCATGAGGGTAGCCAATTTTGCAAGTGCATGATTTGCAATGGACTTGTGATTTCTTACTTTCGGTGGCTTAATCTCTCCAAATAATATTTCACTCTCATTCTCATCTTTACAAATTAAGCGGAAATCGGGCTTTAACCCATTGGTATCGGAATCCCCTGAACATTGATTTTTAGATGAACTACTTTCTCCGTTCGCCCTGCATAAAATACAATTTTACAAATGTCTTTGCAAAAACACTAATCGTAAGGCAATAGCATAGAACGTACCATACAAGTTGCATAGTTCCGACACGGAAAATCTCTTCCAAAATTACGTGGCAAGTTCTGTGGGCGTAGGTGTCTTCATCTGATTGATTCTTATTTTTGCCATATGGTAAATTGTAAAAGCTACGCATAACATTATAATTAATACATCATAAATACATACAGATTGATTATCTAATATCAGTCTACATACAAATTACGTGTTATGATCTGCACTGAATCGAATATCCTCTTATTTTCTTGACCATCCAATAAAGATACTTTGCTCCAGTTCAATCGCCACAGCTCTTCAAATTCGGCCAATTCACCTCTTATTATATGCTTACAATAAAATATAATCAGTGTATTGAACGATAGTTAATTGATTTATATATTATATACTGTATATATGTATATACTTACCGTTGAATACGAACATACAGTGGATTGAACAAGAGCTGGCATCTTGAATTTATAAGTAATGCGTGGAAACGTCATCCGCCACTCGTTATCGGTACATGAAACATAAGCTGGTTTTTTGTTCTTTTTTAATATCATTATGCTTGATAAGGCGCTATTATAAAAATTCCGTGAACATTCTATTAAAAATACACAGATTTTCATTGAAAAGTGCCTACATTATGGATTCACAATCGGTTACATAGCTTAAAACCGGATTGACTTTTAGTTTCTCAATGATAGACTTCTGAAATTGCCGAAAATCTTCAGAAAAATTATGCCTTTCATTTATCCACTATTCAAATGCAGATGATTCAGCAAAAAATATAATATACAAGTGATCATTTCAGCAAACATTTAACATACATCTTTCAAAGAGTTTTCGTTTATTTCCATTTTTGGTCTACATGGTCCCATGTAAGTATTTGTTTAGAGCTCACTTCAATACCGAATGAGGAAATTGCAAAGTCATTATTAGGTTCTCTTGCAGAAGTAGCATAATTTTCTTGGACCTAAATTAAAATATATAAGCGATATGCGCAAATATTTAAAGATGTTGATGAAACCAAAAAATGATGTTCTTCTTACCATTTCTTCATTAAGCTCATTCTCACAATCGTCATTACTATCTCTTTTACGCTTTCCAGTAATTGCATTTGTTATATCGTCCAATGCTTTTGACTTAGATGCTTGATCCCGCATGGTCTAAAAGTTAGTTGTTGCGTTAACACTTAATGATGATCTGTATGAAGAACAGAATGACAGTGATAATATCTCACCTGTTTTTCACAAATATCAATATTATTTTCTTTCATTAATTCCCGTCGATCAATGCGATCAATAATCTTCTCGGCAAGCTCAATGAAAAAATTTTTTTTCGACTATAACACTATTGATTAGTCAACAGCTTTTGAAAGGTGAGAATTATTAGCAAAGGTTACCTTGACAGCTGTCTTTAGCTTTTTTGCATAATCCACAATGTACTTAGGATAACTACCAGCCTCATTTTTCTCAACTATAGCCAATGATCTATGAAAGGACCTATATAAATCTGGCGCTGTCGAAAGTGGGCTGGTCCCTAATTTGGAATTCATATAATCATTGAGACGATGCCATTTGGATACCGGAATGGTAGAAAAATAAGTATCGATTTCTATATGTGCGGGGACTTTATAATCCATGATTAACTTTGAATTTTTTTTTATTGATTTAAAATTTTTAGTATATTTAAATTATTTAATAAAATTAAATATATCTTAATTTCAAATTTTATTGGACAATTTACGCGTCGGCTTATCAAATCACGTGCGATCAACAGAATCTCTTTCGTCGTAAAAAGGGCCTCGCAGAAATGCTCGCCTTTTACACTATCCCTATGCTTTGGACCTAGGAAACTACCTCCAAAGCTTATGGACTCGTGCTTCGACTCTGGGAGATGTATCATCTTCGTGCAGTTATAAATCAAATAAAAAAAAAAGAGCTACGTATAATTTATATTATAATCTTCATTGAACTTTTATGCAATGGATTTAGATCTTTTAACGCTAAAGTATATTCTCATTATAAATATGCAAGATGCCTGACTAGTCTTACCATAATGCTCAAAATAAAAATAATTTTCGTTAATGATCTCTAAGGATGACATGGGTCTGTATAACGTGATTTCTCTCTTGTACATTATGGCAGAAGAAAATATGCTCGCTTAAAAGAAGCTGCCATATTGCAGTTTGACGGAAGCGATGGTGAAGAAGTTGTTTGAGAAAGTTTCAGATGAAAAGATTACACTAAACAAGGTATGATTTTTTTTCAGTTAGCATCATGGAAGGCGGATAGCATAGTTTCGTTAAGGTGATTTATTTGTATTGCTTGCTTTCATGTACTGATGACAGTTTTGTTTTATCCAGAATATCGGTGTTGGGGGCAAATGAAATCGGATTACAGAGGGTGATCACGGGTTTCCGAACGATAAGTATTTTTGTTTTTTTTTCTTTGTTTACATCATCTACGCGTTTA